TCCTGGAAATTAGGCTTATCCTTCAGACTTACAGTAATTCAGCTTTCAGGTGAGCAAATTCCACAAAGCCCCCTGCATATAATCCTTGTGTTAGGGAAAGTCAAATTCATAATTTTAAACTGACAATAGTGCATAGAAGATTTAAGCAAACACTTTTATTTCTTAACTTATGAACTTCATCCACAGCACAAACAAAAGAAATGCTTCAAGTAGTGTCAAAAGACTGGACTTCAGTAACTGGAACAAGTTATTAAGCAGTCTCATCCCTGAACTTAGGACAATTACTGCCCAAAATCAAGTTTGTGAAACAGACACAGTAGGAGTTGATATGTAACACAAATTCACTAGATTGTACAAGCTACTGATTTAGTGTAAAATGATGTTAAATAAACACTTATTTTGCAATGACTTCACATAGCTTTATCCTAAGAAGACCTTGGGAAAAAGAAAAAGGAGGAGCCCAGCTCTACCTATGAACATCCAAAAGGATTCTTTCTTCTTTCTATGTGCAATGCAGCTCTTCCCAAAGACAGTGAAACTGCTCCATAATTAGATTACTCCAAACTGCTGACAGTTTTCAGCACAGTAGTGGGGACCAATAGCAGTAGTAATAGAAACTATTTTGCCAGACCAGCAGATGAGAAATATTTATTAATACGTATATTGTATTGTATGCAGTTTCATCACCTGCAGATTTTAGGGAGAACTTACTGAACTTATGTTTTCTAATATAAAGAATATTAAAAAAAAAAAAACAACAAAAAAACCCTCTACAAGAGTAGCATTTGCTTACCATGAAATGAGGTTGTGTTAAAATACGCTTTAGCTCCTTTGCATCATTGTTCTCTGGGTAACATGAAATTTCTTCCAATACCTGCAAAACAAGTAGGAGAAATGCCCATAGTAACTGTTTTTTAAATAAAGCTATTAATCAAAGAAATGAAAACCCTCTCTGGTCAGTTAGAATATCTCCAAATGATTATACAAAAGAATGTTTTTGACAGGAAAGGGCTTAGGAGAATGTGCCCCCCACCCCCAAGAGAATAAAATACCTCATTGCAATTTTCTTTCTGAGAGAGATTAAAGCAGAAATTTGAAGGAAACAGTTGCTCTTTTTTCAATTGACAGTATTCCTCCAACAGCTAAATATATGGAGACAAAAATGAAGTGCTAACTTATGGGTGACACCACCACCAATTGCTACTTTCACACATGGTCTCAACTTATTAAAACAATCAGTTTAAAAGCAGAATTAAAAATACTCATAAAGCCTTCTCTCCACAAATTAAATTGTTAAAGACATCAAGTGTAGGTGGTCCATCTGCTACCCCACCTCCAAGCTCCAGATTTTATAAAATCTGAGCCATGCTTCAGCTTATCATTGGGGGAAGGAGGAGGCAGGAGACATTTGCCTGCAACCTGAAACTTGCACCTTTATTTTCCACATGAAACTACTTGGACAACGAAAGCAGAGTATTTTGTTTCGGGAAGCACCTCCCAGGATTAACTGCCAGCAAATTTTGCAGAATAGGACTTTGGGGTGCCTATCAGTGTTACTGCAGTTATTACACAGTGTTTTAGTCTTCCTGTTCATTCTGTTTTAATAGCACTATAAACAGTGTTTTCCAATGACATTACCCCCGAAAACTGTACTTATTTTTACTGATAATATATAACACAACTGTATTTTTTTACTACTTGCAATAAATAAACAAATAAAATACTATTTGTTAGGTATAAGAATTAAGAACATCTGTGTCTATTTATCTTTCATCTTAATGGGCCACCTTCATTGCATTTCTAGGTCTGCTCTTAGAACTATCTATGATAGACTTGTTTTTTTGATTTAAAAAGCTGACACCTAGAAACATATCTTTTCTTTGTGACTAAGTAATATATAAACTGAACATGAAAGATATTGCATTTACCCAGCAGGAGTATTCCTTTTAAGACCGCTATTGGTGCAGCAAAAGTTAAATGATGAAACTGAGTAGTATAGATAACCCTTACAGACATAATGGAATTCTGCAAGTTTATGCAACATGTTATGTAACTTAAGTAAGCAGTGGCAGAATTCCAGAAATAATTCAGATTATGAACCAGAATACATATCAGTATCTTAATGAAGAAAAAAAAGGTTCCACTTTAAATACAACCAAGCTTTCAAAGTAAAAAATATATTTTAAAGCCATTACCTCTTTGGCTCTCTGTACAGCATCACTTGGAGGATTCCTGATTTGTGGTGAAGATTTTGTGTTTATTTTGTCATAAAGCTGAAATAACAAGAAAACAAACTACTGAAATCATATGCTACTTTATATAAAGTAATGATGAGCACTGACAATAGCCTGCTTATGTTACCATGATCAAGACGACTGTTAAACTGCAAGTCCCACAGATGTTTTGTATACAAAATCTAGCAGCTTAGGGTTTTGGCTTTTCATTTTTAAACATTTCCTGATTTGAACAGTGCCATAGATTCAGAGTTCATAGGATGACATGGGAAAGTTCAAGAGGTTAAGGGATTCTGCAAACCTCCCATGCTTTTTCCACAGATTTACAGAAACTATATTCTTCTAGAATAGAAGTGATCCTATGAATCTTGAATAAATGCTGTAAACGATACATTCTGCTGTAAAAATCAAATTGATCTGCATATCCCATATTTTTCAATAAATTAATCATCAAACATTCCAAACAGTAATTTAAATAAACCTCAGAATACGGGAAAATGCTTTTGCAGATAGAAAGCTACAAAAGCCTAAGTCTTTGGAGAAGAGAAAAACAAATCTTTCCAACAAAGAGGGTCACAAAAAAAGAGAGTACCCTTATTCTACTAGGATTTTCTATTGGACAGAAGAATGTAAATTTATTTAAATAGGAAATCGTAAACCTTCCAGGTTAATTATTTAAGAAAAACCAAACAAACCAACAACCAACTTTTAAAACCCCCTCAACTATGCAAAACAGAACAGGAGAGAGATCTATCTTCAATTTCAAATTAGAGATAGACATTACAGGCTCTCTTTCATACAAACCTAAAATATTGTGCATGTTTTAAAGAAATAAATGCACACTTAAGAATAAAAAGGCACTGTAATAAGTACTGTTTTCAAATAAAAAACTTTTGTATTACATTTTGAACAATATGAAGATGGTCATGCCTGTAATTAATTCCTATTTATGCTAGACTGCTTTAAAATATAAGACAGAGAAACAATACAAATAGCTATTTTTAGGATATTAGAGAAATTTTTATCACAGTGAGGGTGGTGAAACACTGCAACAAGTTGCCCAGGGAAATTGTGGAATCTCTCAACTTTGGAAATACTCAAAATTCAACTGAAATTCAAAATAGTGTATGTAAACAAACATTCAAAATACACAAGGGACTCTAACAACTTCAGCAAATGCTAACACTGTAAAGGATGAGTTGATAAGAACGCCCCATTTAAGCTGCTCAGCAAGGAGTTCTCAGGAGCTTCCTCTGAGAAGCTTACAGCTCCATCGTTTGGCTGAGGACAGCCTCGGATGTTTGAAAAAGGGAATCTTGTCAAGCTACAGAAGTGCCCTCTTCTCTTTCTCACACAAAATACCATTCTGTTTTAGAAGAGATGCAAATTGCAACAAATGCAATCCAATATCATCATCATTTTCCTTGTGTTCCTTAACAACCTAATGCACATGTTGAACATTTCAAGTCCATACACAAATAAATACAAAAAGAGGAGACAGTGTAACTTCCAGAAAACATTGCTTGCAGGACAGTTATACTGCTGTCTTCGGGAATGAAAAGTAGAAAAGTCAAGCTAAATCAGTTTCTTCCACATCCAACAACTTCACCTTGTGCTGCCAAAACACTGCTATACTCACTCAACAGTTTAAGCAGCCTTGACCACTGTTGCAGTTTTTAAAATAAAAGCTTTCTGCTAGCTTATAGTCCAGGAGACACTTCAGTTGCATATACAATTATTTGTTTTTACCTTTTCTTAAATAAGTAAACAAAACCTACCCAGACTCCAGCAATCCCAAATTATTAAGTATCACATTTATACACCTGCTAAGAAACTGCATCAAGCACTGTGTACCAAGTAAAGCACAGTAGGAGCTGTTGAAAATGCATGATACTCAACATGAATATTATTAAATGTATTTTTCCAAGAGAGTCACACACACATCCTGTTTAAGATTAATGAAATTACAGAAAAGTTAGCATAAGAATATTTTTATTAGTTATTTCTAGCAATTCTTTAAAAGCTAAGTTGCTGAAGTTGCTGATTTCACTCAAGTCGCTATGTTATTGTGATCCAAAACAACCGTTAGTTTACAGAAACAATTTTTTCTCACTATCATGGGAGAGGATAAGTTATCTTCTGAGACTAGGATGGAGGCAAAAAGGAAAGTAGGAAGCAAAGTGCCTCTAAGAATGTTTAGAAAAAAATCAAGGCAAAGTTCAGACTAAACAAGGGTGCATTTATTTTTCTGTGGCGCCTTCATGCTGAGGCACGGCACTTAAATTTCATCTTCCAGGAGTGCTACTTACTGAGATTTGGTTCCAAGGCACCAAACTATTAGGAGGGACTCTGACAGTACTTAAAAGAAAACCTTCATATTTGCATTAAGGCTTAAAGCCTATATATATTACCCAAGCCATGGGATCCATTCATTGTTTCTGGGAGCAGAAGACAGCCTCAACTAGAGAATGGCTCTGTTTTCGGTAGCTTCCCTAGCACGAGCAGATCTCTTCTAGCGAATCTTCTTGGGTACTCTGCCTCCAAAGCTCATTACAGTGGAAGGCACTCATTCCAGTGTCTAATGGAAACACTATGCAAACAGCCTATACCACATTACATTTTTACCATGATTATAATGTGTTTTTCTCTAAAATTCTATTCAACCTTAACTATAAAAAGCAAGAAGCAAGCAAAACCCATAATAAATCTAAAAAGAAACTTGAACCTCTCCAACCAAATATATTTTTAAATGGTAAATTCCTAATTAATACCAGGGACATTTCATGAAGGTATACTGATTTAAGAAAAAAAGAAATACACTTTCTGTGTTACCATCACTTTAACCTCTGCATGCAAGGAAAAAGAAAAGCGTATTTTCTGCCCAAATAAAAGATCACATATCTAAGAACAAAGAATACAAGTAATACTTAAAAGAGGAGGAACTATCTTGGCAGGGGGAAGGGGGAATCTCAGGCAACCAGAAAGCATAAAGTCAGCTATGTACGAATTTCTCCCAGGGAAGACTACAGCCAAATGCCATACCATAATGAAAATATCAATTAATAAGCTTGTCATATGTGTTTGTGGCGTGCTCGCAATAGACCACTGTGCGGTTCTACATTCAAAATACAGGAAAGATGTCAAGAGGCAGAGAGTGCTCAGAAAAAGCTTTCCAAAAAGATCAATCATTGCTCCCCCTAGTATACTATAAGATGCTTAAAGAAGACAGAAGTTTGATAATATAAGGGAATTCAGTTTAAATGACCGAACTATCACATGACCTGACTAAAAGGCAGTAGTCAGGACAAATTCAGAGTAGAATTAAAGCAGAAATATCAACATAGCAGATAATTAAAGGTGTACTTGATTTAATCTCTTGAGAATTTTTAAAAATCAGGAACGCATTTTTGGAATGGTATACTCTAATTCAAGTTAGCTCATGGACTTTTAGCTTACAAGGGGACCAGGCTACATAATTAAAATTGCTTCTCCTGGCCACATATTCCATAAACAACAGATTAAGCTTTAAAATTTCAGTGTAAATAATTTATTTTGTAATTTGTTGGAAAATGTTATCTCTATCAATAAAACTGGTGTTTTATGAATTATCCTAAAGGGACCCAACAGCAGCAGTGAAAGATTTACTTTTGTATGTGAAGTCAAAGATTTCCACATGAGAATATCCAAATCACATAAAGAAAAATGTAGTTTGTCAATTCCTGTACAGTATTGTTTTAAACACACCGTAGATACTCAGCTAGTTGTTACTATCTCTGTGCTCTGAATTACTTTTAAAACAGGAGCTGACCGTGGCTTTCAAGGTTTCTTCGTCTTTTTATAGATGGGCCACAAATTCTTAGGTTTTAATTGTGGTTCTTGAAATGGCGGTGAACATTGTCTTGACCTAAAACTCGTTTTAATCCCTTTTTAACAACAAAACAGCTGTACTTATTACTGACATTTCATGTTAGCAACAGAAAAATTTTCTAGTGGAGACAATCAGTATTGTTACCAAACTGTCTCCGTGTCTGTTTTCACATCTCATCTGGACAACCTTTTGTTCAGGCCATGCAATTTCTCTCTGGCATAATGCATTATAACACTAAATTATTTTGGAGAGTAGTGGCACAAATTACAATACACAAGATAAATGCAATTATTACACACTGAAGACAGTAAAATGACAAAGCTGTTTTCAAATGTATACATACGTACACAGCAATACCCCATGAACCATTTCTCTTGTTCAGGTTCACATGTCATTATGTATTTCTAATGCACCGTTAGGAGAAATTAAAATAATATTACGTACGAGATCGTATCAGAAGTACTATTTCTACATTAACTGTTTATGTAGCAAAGCGAATATAAGAACATACAACCAAGATACATATGTTTAAAAACATGTCAAATAATAATTAGTAAACCCAGAAACAAAGGAAGTATTAGTACCTCTTAGTACTTGTCTTATATTTTATTTTTTTCAATATACCATTTCAAGAATGCTGTCACAGAATTTTTTTGGATGTTAAAAAAAAGTCTGGTTATAAAGTGTCTCTTGTTTGGTATATACTTATATAAGCATAAGGATGAATCCAGGATATTATTTTGTATCTCTAATTTCCAATTTTAGTAACTGTGTGTTCAGTCTGGACAGAATTTTTTAGCATTGTGTTATTAAGCTTATTTCAAAAAACCACATTAACTCTAACAACCAGTCTTTACTGGTTACAGAAGATGATTAGAAGCTTTCCGCCAGAACACAACAGAAGCTGGTAAGAGGAGCAAAGCTTATAGTATGCATTAATGCACCAGAACTAGTGAAACAGTCCTACATTCTTTGCAATCTTTGCAAAAAGACTATTTTGGAATACTTTTCAAATATTTTTGCACTTCAATAATAGCTATAGTAGAAGCAATTTAGAAGAAGGAATTTACAGCTCCATAATTTGTCTCTGAAAGCATATGAATTTAGAGGTTTCATTTATACACATTAACAAGAACATTTGTTCCCTTGGACATAAGAATCCAACACACCT